GTCAGCATCAACACACAGTCTGTATGCTGGGACGGAGAAGCTGCAGATCCCGCACCTCAGAGGGTCTGAGCAAGACACAGAAAACGTTCTTCTTCTGTCTACGTTCTGTCTATATCAGTGAAGGGGTGTCAGATAAAATGTGAAAGGTAACTTTAATAAACCAATATAAATCTGTTTTCTTACTTTCTTCACTCCCAAAGGCTGCGATATAACAGAGACTCTGGTCATTTGTAATTTAGTGCTGGGAGTAAAAGATGAGAGCAATGAGAGAGAGGGGCAGAGAGGTCCTAGCATTCCTGCTCCATCAGCAGCCATCACTGTGTCCGGGAGAAGGGCTGTAACCGTGACCTGCCTTTGCTCTCCTGGTGACCGCTATGAGAGGATCAGGCTACGTCTTAGGAAACGCCACACACGGCAGCACGCTGTGACGTCAGGACATTTCCTGTCTGCAGACCCGGGAGGAAATTTAATTAGGTTTTACCTACTGTGAAGTCTGACCTTTGACCTTTCTGAGTTGGTCCGATTGGTCTCTGATGTCTGACGCTTCCCATGTGGCTTCTAAGCTAATCAAACAGGAACATCCACAGTAGGGCCAAGCCTGTTAGATTGTGACGACTTTGGCTTCAGATCATAGCAGAGCTGAAGAGAAACATGAAGTGGATCTACAGCGAGTGAACAAGTGCTTCATGACACAGGTATATGAAATCAGCAGAAGCTTTTCAGGCTGCTGGTTTGTGACCAAAAATGCCCAAAAAGTGGGAGCTCTGGATAAACAAGTGTGTCTGTGCATATGTGTGCAGCCGTTCACAAATTACCTAAACAAATATTCTGGAGTTTCACTGTGACGCACGTGTCTCCCCTTCCACTACAACACACACTCTGTCTGTATATGTGTGTGTACGTGAGAGACCGGTCTGTGAGTGTGGGTACAACAGTCCGTTTGGCAACGGAGCAGCATTCCACAGCAGCCAGCGTCTGACGTCAAACTGAAGACATTTATAGTCTGGTAAACACACACACTAACGTACAGTCTGACACAGAGGCAGGGCTCAGGCAACATTTTAGTCAATCATCCAGTATCAGCTTCTAACTGACTACTGCTCACTGCAGCACCACGCAGTCATTCATGCACCAAAAAAGAGTGAAAGACAGACTGTGGGTCCACTTCGTCCAGTCAATGAATCTGGATGGAAACAAGACGGACTGGTCATTATACCCTGGCCCTAATAAGATACACAGGCACACTTTCTGCACAGTGACCAGGTCACCTCATAAAACCAGAGAGTTTATTATAAAGCAAGCTAAAAATGAAGGCGTGAAGAACTCCAATTAAATAAATGTGCATCAGTGGCATTCAATCAGGGCAAGCAAAGCCACCACTGCATGTTACTGGACAAACATGTTACTGCTTGTCCAGTAACATGTAAAAAATCAACATCAATATTTCTCCTTGCATCTCAAAGAGTGTTCTGTCCCATGAGCTTCTCTCATTGCATGTGTGCACCACCTTTAAATTACTGTCATCATGCAGCCACAGTTAGTTGTTAACTCTGTAAGCAGGCTTAAGTACGCTTGCCTCCATAGAATACATAGCACCAGTCGATTTGATGAGCATGTGCATGTGCCATTAACAGCTGGGCAAGCTAGGAGGACTGTTAATTTGTGCATGCACATTGTGAAAAAACTTCTGGTCTTTGAGGGTAGATTAATAGTGGATAGACAAACTAGATAACCCGCTGCTGACTCTGATTTACCTGAGAGATCAGGTACTATCTGTGGGTTGCATGGGAACAGAGCTAGCATTAGTAATTTAGCAAGCATTTTTTTGTGATTTTCTATTACTAGCCATGTCCTCTTTATTCAAACAGCAAGTTGAAGTGGCTAATCAATGGACCACAAATTGCAGTTTAATTAATGGATAAGGACCAAGCAAACAAATGCAATGACTGTTAGCTTCAATCGCCCAACGCTACGTCCATAAAAGCAAGTCTGTACACTGTGTGCATCCATCCATCACACAAGGAAGCACTGAAATCACCAGCACAAGGAGATTCCATTTGGCCAAAGGTACTTCAGGAAAATTGTCAAACTACTGGATAAAAAGATGAATTAAAGGAAAAGTAGAACAATGTAAATGTGAAAGCAGTCTCATTGACTTCATTTTGTATTAAATATTGTTACGTTTAAAAATTTTTTACATTTTTCCATTTTCTTCTAAGAATTGGCATAATGAAACTAAGATTCTTCAGTATTTAATATTGTTTGTCAAATGGCTCATTTTAGATGTTGCAAAACCATATAAACATTCTCCATAATAATGAGCATGAAGGAAATAAAAATGATCTACAGCCGCTCAACTATAAATTAAGTGATCAGGATAAAAATCCCCAAGTACTTTATTTTGTTGTTGTTGTTGCTTGGACCGGTGAAATGAACCATTTCTGTCTTATTCAATTCAATTTTATTAATAAGGCGCCAAATCACAAAAACAGCTGCTTTATAATAGAACCTACAATAATACAGAGAAAAGTCAACAATCAAATAACCCCCTTTTTGCAAGCACCTGGCAACAGTGGGAAGGAAAAACTCTCTTTTAACAGGAAGAAACCTCCAGTAGAACGAGGCTCAGGGAGTGCAGTCCATCTGCAGTGACTGGTTAGGGGTGAGCGGAGGAAACAGGATAAAAGACACACTGTGGAAGAGAGCCAGAGATTAATAATAACTAATTATTAAATGTAGAGGTGTAAAAAAACATGATGAGTGAAAAGAGGTGGCAAACGCTCAGTGCATTGGTGAAGCCAACTGCACCATAACTAAGGAAAGATTCAGGGTCACTTGATCTACCCCTGACTATACGTTTTATGAAAAAGGATATTTTAACCGTATTCTTAGAAGTAGCAATCAAATCTGGGATCTGGAAGCTGAAGGCTCGGTCTCCCATTCTACTTTTGAATATTGTAGGAAAATTGTCAGGCGGTGGAAGGAATACTTCGAGGACCTCCTTAATCCCACTGACGCGTCTTCTGAGGAGGAAGCAGAGTCTGGGGATGAGGGGAATGACCCGCCAATTTC